GACTTTTTCTCTTCCCTCCCCCTCAAAGGGCTGCTGCAAAGGATCCTCACCAGCAGGCTGCCCTTCCCCACATGCTGCCTGCAGGGTGTGAAGGGCCTGAGAAGGCTGGGACATTGCACATCCTTATGTGCTGAGAGCATGGCTGCTGGGGAGAGGGCAGTGGGCTCAGGACACCGTTGGTACAGGGCTCGTGAGGGTCTGCCCTGCCTAGCTGAGGGTGAAGGCTCTCTGTGCTGAAGCCAGATGTGGGCTACGGGCTCTCTGCAAGACAGTGAGATCATTGCCCTCAGCATCCCAGCCCTGCATCTCTGCACCCAGGGACCCAACAGTGTCCCAGTGCTGCACACCCACCTCACCACGCAAGTGGCTGAGCCCCTGCCCCGCACCCACAGCCATCAGCAGGGAGAAGTCATCTGGTGCAGTTCCTTTGCCTCTGAGAAGGACACCGTGACATAACTCCCAGCTCAGTGGTTTGTGAGCAGCTGTTAGCTCTGAGGCACCATCCCTGCAGACGGCTCCTGACCTGGTCAGGAGGGAGCAGCCACTGAAGGGGAACTGAAGTGAAGCAGCCTGGAGGGGAAGCAGCATCATGCTTCAGGGAGGGGGCACACATTGCAGCAGCACTTTGCTGTCTGTTGTGATTTAGAGGGAATTTCCATTACTAGGTCAGTTTCTTGGCCGTTTTTTATCCCAGGACCTCCTCTCTGGTAGGAGGGATGCATGGAAGAAAGTCTTTAGCATGGGGGTGGTGAGACACTGGAACACAAAAGCTGTGGGTGCTCTATTGGATGGGGATTTTGGCAGCATGACCTAATGAAAGATGTCCCAGCCAATGGCCGGGCTGCAAAGCAGTGTGCTGAGTTCTGCCCTGGGCTGCAGATTTCTGGCTGTGCCAGGAGCTGTGTCACACACACATCTGTCTCCTGCTGCCTGCAGGGTGCCAGAGCATCACTGCCCCGCTCTTCCCAGGGGAGGACGCTGAGCCCTGGGTGCGCCGTGGGGGCCTCTTTGGAGACCTGCAGGTGAGATCATGCCCTTGAATACTGGGGGCTGGAGGAGCCCTTGGGAAGCCAGGACCATAGCTGCTGTTCCTGCCCTGCCATTGAGTTCCTGTGTGCTTGACAGGCAGAGCTGCTTGGGTGCTGGTGCTGGGGCTTGGGGTGGAACATGGAGACGTTTCTCCTGCTGCTCCAGGGCAGGTGTGGGGGGCAGAGCAAACTGCTCCTTGACAGACTGCCTCCTCCAGGCACTGCTGCCCGTGGGGAACAGCTGTGACCTCTTTTGCCATCCACCTCCGCTCTTCCCATCCCGACAGCTGTACCTCCTGCGCCCGCTGCTGCCCCAGGACAAGGTGAGATGGAACATGCCACCCTGCAGCCCCTCCTGCCCCTCACCCTGCATCACACCCTGCATGGCATAAGAAGAAAAGTGCATGCTGACTCCCAGCCTCAGAGCTGAGGTCACAGCACAGGACGACGACAGTGGGAAGCAAACCCCAGGATCAGGCCAGTGTGGGGTTAACTGCACAGGGCTGTGTCCCATGGGATGCAGCCTGCAGTGGTCACACAGCTCTGTGTGCTCTGCCGCCCCGCCGGGCTAAAAAATGCTAACACTGCGAATCCACCATCATGGGCACAGCACACACATCCCTGCTGAACACAGTGCCCTGCAAGGCACGGCTAGTGCTTATAAATAACAGAGGAGGAGTTGCAGGCACATGAGAGCAGATTATAATGTCAGACTGTGACTGCCAGCAATTCCCAGTGCAAGAGCTTGTTTTCAATTGCCAGTTGTCAGATTACGTCTGAATGCATCTTTCCACTGGAACTTTGTGGGAAAAACTCGGCCGAGCGCTTTGGCCAGCAGTGGGAGCAGAGCTGAGGAGTGCCTTTCTCTGCCCCTGCTGCTCCCCGAGCCTTCCTCTGAGAAAAACATGTTCTTGCCAGGATGTCCTTTGTTGTCCTTTGTGCTGACCCTGCGAGCTCTAATGTGACCAAGGCAGGAATTCATGAGAGGGTTCCCCTTTGCACGTGCTCCATGGAGAGCATGTTTTGCTGCTGTTCAGCTTCTCTGAGCATGCTCTGGGCTGGGCTGAGCAGCATTTTCTCAGGAGCTGCTGCGAGGGGGTGCCTGACTGGAATGGCAATGGCTCATTTTAAAGCACGCTGTGCTGTGGCAGCAGGACACAGCACACAATGGCTGCATGCATCGCATCGCTCAGCGCCAGCACCCCCAGCACTGCAGCACCCACCTCCCCTGGTGCCGAGGGCTGTGGCTCTGGTCGAGTTCCTCTCTGGGGACATTTCAGGCAGCTGTGAGTGCTGCCTGAAATCACACTCCAAAGGGGCTGTGGCAGAGCAGCAGAAGCTGAAGGGGTGCAGTGGGGCAGGATTGGGACTGAGCTGGGTTGGGCTTTTCCAGGGCAAGCTGTACCAAATGTTCCGGGAGGGTCTGGATGGTGAGCCCAGCACTGTGGAGGTCCTCGCGGCCCACCCTGACCTGCTGGGTGATAGGTGAGACCTGATCCGCGGGGACCCCCTGGATGTGTGCCCAGGCAGCATGGAAGCAGCCAGCCAGGGCCCTCCTCTCGTCCCTGCAGGGAGCAACTCTGCCTGTGCCACAGCCACTGTGGGACTGTGGTGTCAGATGTGGGGCAGGGAGGGTGCGTCCAGGGGGGTCCTGGTTGCTGCCATGGGGATAGAGATGCTCTGTCCCCACTGGTCCCTGTGGGGGCTGCAGTGTTTACACTGGCAGAAGGCATCATTAGAACCTCAGAGGGTTGGGAGGGCACTGGGTGCTGCGTCCCAGGAGTGGAGGCAGCCAGCAGCTCTGTGCTCCGTCTGTGCTGCGCTCGGCCCCAGCTCAGCGGTGCCCTGCTCTGTCTGGCAGGGTGCTGGGCAGCTTCCTGAGCCTCAGCCCTGAGTACACCTTCGTGCTGGAGGATGAGGGCGGCCCCTGCGGCTGTGCAGCTGGAGCGCTCTGTGCTGAACGATTCCTGCGAGAGCGCGACAGCAGCTGGCTGCCGGCCATGCAGCACAGGTACCCCCGGGAGCTGGGGGTCCTGGGACAGGTGAGGGTGTGACTGCGGTGCTGGGATGGGGTTGGGGAGGGAGGGTTCCCTCACTGTGTATCGCCTGCAGGGTGTCCTGGAAGAAGCACTGCTCTTCTTCCACACGAAGCCGGTGGCCGTGCCGCTGCCCGTGCTGCGACGCTTCCCCTCCCTGGTGCAGCTGGACACGGCCCCAAGGGTGCAGGACGTGGGTGTGAGCCGCAGTCTGGCTGTAAGCCTGCTGAGCGCCCTCAGAGCCAATGGTGAGTTCCGTGCTGGTGGGGCTGAGGCACCCCTGACCCACCCCAACCACATCCTGTCTGCTCCCTGCCCGCTTCGGAACCGGGGCAGCCCTCACTGGGGCTCCTTGTCTGCATTGTGGCTCTGCCCCCAGCATCATGAGTTGCACAAAGGGACACGAGGGACCCAGGCCATGGTCTGAGCTCTCCTCTCTCCCCCCAGGCTCACGGGGAGTGTTTTGCCAAGTCAGTGCTGCAGACCACCGGCAGCTGAGCTTCTACAGCAAGCTGGGCTTCGTCGCGCTGCCCTTGCCCTGTCCCAGCTCCCCTGGAACGCAGCTCCTGGGACGTCTCCTCTGAGCGAGCATCAGGGGCAGCCATGGGGCAGCACCACGGGGCCCCATCCCACATGGGATCGCTGGAGGAATCGGGAGCGTGGAGCTTCTCAGGCCGGGCAGGGATGTGGGAGCATGGCCTGGGGGTGAGCGAGGTGCTCCTGGCGTGTGTGCAGTGCACCAGGCTGTGGGCTTTTTGGCAAGAGAGAAGCATTTCTGCCCTTTTGGGAGATATGGGTACTGGGAACCTTCACTCTTGCTGGCTGAGGACCCTGAGCACCCTGATGCAGGGCATCCCTGGGCTGTGAAGAGCTTCCAGCCTGCAAGTGTGGGGTGGTGGTCCTGGAGCACAGCACGGTAGTGTGCCAGTCCTGCAGGTGGGGCTGCCCAGCTCTCCATTCCGGTGTGGACCCAGGCTGGGAGGCTGGGGCTGGGGCTGGTTCTCAGCACCCAGGAGCTGCCTTGGATCAAGCTTGCACTGGGCACAGTGAGGCAGACCCAATTCTGCTGCCCGAGGACTGATGAAAGTTCTATCCCTGGTAATAAAGCATTTGCTGGCCACATTGTAGGTCATCTCATGGGGAGAGCATTGGGATACCACCGACTCCTTCCAGCAACCCATAGCTGCCAGCCACCCAGCCCCGTGCTTGCAGCCAGCACAGTGGGACCTCGGCTACAGTGGCAGCCACAGCTCTGCCTCCAGCTACTCCCCGGCCTGGGACCCCTCACCACAATGAGGAATGGCCCTCAAAGGGTCCCCGCACCTCCTCTGCAGGATGGGGTCTCCTGTGGCAATGGCTCCGTTATGGGTCTCTGGGGGCTCCTCATGCCAGCAGGGCTGTAGAAGGAACGTCTGTCTGTCCTGCCACGGTCGTGGGGAAAGAGTTTGGAAGGAGGGACGGAGGGACGAAGGGCTCACGGGAGGCTCCCTCTCCATAGCCGTCCCATACCCATAGGGCAGGGAAGAGGCTAAAGAGTGGCAGAGGTACCCGGAACAGTGGGGACACGGGCAGTCCCTGCTCTCCCCGTGCCTGGCCAGGACGCGCTGCTCTGTGTCCGAGAGCGGCTCCGAGGGGCGGCTGCAGCCGGTTCTGGTCCCGGGACGACCGTGGGTCCCGGGGCGGAGAGAGACGGGGACCCTGCAGGGGAGGGCCGCGGTGTCGGTCCCGTGCAGGGGCTCCGTCCCGGGAGCAGCGGCAGCCGTGCAGCGGAGCCGCCGGGGGAAAGGAGCAGCTCGGGAGTGCGGGGTTCCGGAGCGGCCGTACCCCTCCCGCCGGACGTCCCCGCCACGATGGCTGCGGGCTGGGAGCCGGGGCTGCTCGGTGCGGGCCGGGGGGTGGGGGGCGGCCCCTGACACGGGCAGTGCGCGGGGCGGGCCGGGGAGGAGGGAGCGGCTCAGCGCGGCCCGGCACAGCCCGGCTCCGCAGCGCTCGGACGGACGGACGGACTCTGCCTCTCGCCGCCGTGTAGCCGAGGGATCGAGAGAAGTACGGCCGGGGCTGCCGGGGTGACCGGAGCGGAACCGGTCCGGGGGGGAGGGGGCAGTGGGCGCGCCGGGCCGTGCCGGAGCGCAGGGCGGTGCTGGGGCTGCGGCGCGGAGAGGGTGCGGGAGCCGATACCGCCGATACCGCCGATACCGCCGGCGCGGAGCGGGGCCGTCCCGCGTGCGTGCGCTCTGTGGGCCGCGCGGTGGGGGTTCGCGGCTCGCACGGAGCGCTGTGCGGGAGGGGAACGGCCGGGAGCGCGGAGTGAGACTCGGGGTGCGGTTCTGCTGCCGGCGGGGAATGAATGGGACCGCGGGGGCTGCGTGCGGGGCACGACGTGTCCGTACTGCCTCAGAGCTCCGGATGTCAGCGCACGTCTGCGCGGGGCGGTGAGATGGACTTTCCCCGTCTGTGGTTGTAAGGAGAGCGCCTCGTGTCCGCTGCAGAAAGCTCGCTTTGTGTGCTGTGCCGGCAGCAGTGGATGGGGGAACTGTGTAATGTTTTAGTTGTGCGTCCGTGTCTGGCAGGGTGAGAGGATTTATGTCACGCAGACTGCCTGCGCTTTGCATGTGCTTGCTGGGAAGGGATGCCCAGAGGATCCAGCGGGTCAGAGGGTGCTGCGTGTATCCCTGAGAGCGTCCTGGCTTCAGGATGCTCGTTTGCTGATCTGTGGCTTACAAAGGGCAGAAGAAAGACAGAATTTTAGCAAAGATGGAATTTGCTGTGGCTCTTGGAAGAGAGGATGGATGGAGAGACGTGAGGTGTGAGGGCTGGGGGGCCTGGGTCAGATGGTGGTGGTGCCATCCTCCTGTGCAGAGCCGGACTTCTCCCTCCAAGCAGCTCTCAGCCAGCTGCCTCCCAGCTCACTGCTTGCTCCCCAGAAACTGCACATTCCTCTGAGGTCTCCCCTTCCTGCCTGCCCCGAGAAACCCAGGGGAGCCCAGAGTAGAGCAGGCAAAGCTGGAGGCCCTGCTGTGTCCCAGGGAAACAGAGTGGTATCGGGAACTGCAAGGATCTGTTATGCCCTGACTTAGAGGGTGACAGCAGAATGGGGGACATCGGGCAGTCCAGAGGGCTCAGAGTTGGAGGGGAAGGAAGGTGCAGCCCCAAGTGCAGCAGAGTGCTCTATCCCCAGCTGAGGCTCTCCTTGTCACTGCTTGGGATGGAGGTACACAGCGCTAGGGCAAGGATTTGGCACTCTGCCTCCTGAGCAGCAAAGGACAGGGAGCCCCCAGCTCAGTGCGCGGGGAGGTGGTGGTGTGAGGAGTGCCAGTAGTGTGCAGGGCTGCCATGGTGGTGCTGGGCTGCTCCCCAGCACTCCTAGGAGCACTTCAGCTCATTCCTCCCTGCTCTAGCTGAGGCTCTGCGTCCCCTGCTCCTCCTGTCCCGTGGGGTCCCTGCAGGCGGCAGAGCAGGAGCTGTCATGGACCTCTGCTCCGGCCCCCCTGGACTGCCGAAGTGTGGGAGGATGATGGAGGCCTTCCAGGCAGCCCGGATTGCGAAAGGGCTGGCGCAGGAAGCCAGGCTCTGAGGCCCCAGGAGATGGGGAGGGAGCAGAACCTGGTGCCTGGAACCATGAGACCCACCAGACCTTCTGCTGGGGACGTGACCCCTGGCTCCCAGAGATGACCCAGCGTGGCTCTGGAAGAGTGTGATCGTGTCACCTCTTGACCTCCCAAGGAAAGATAAACAGAGGGAGCCGCTTCCTCCTTCTGCAGACGGGTGTCCCAGGTCGGTCGTCTCCGAGCTGTTCCACGCATCAGGGCCTGCTTTGCTCTGTCTGCCCATGCATGCTGCAAGCCTCCTGCGCAGCACTGCTGAGTCCCTGCGCTGCAGAAATGATGTGTGCCTGGCTGCTGGTGTGCACACGTAGCCAATACACTGAGCTGCTGGGAGATCTGCTCCAGCTGCCCCTCCTTGAGCCTGTTCCACTTGTGGGTGCTGGATGGCAATCCTTGGGGCCAGCATCCCCCGTGCTCAGCCCCTGCCCCATTGTCACTGTCTCTTAGTTCTCCCCCATGGCACGGCCAAGGCCCCAGAGGAAGCAGCCCCTCTGCCAGGGGAGTGGAGCAATGAGGGCAGCAGGCTGGCTGGCTGTAGGATGCAGTTCCTACAGAGGTGTTGGGAATGGGAGCCCTCGCAGTCCGCCGGGAAGAGCAGAGCGGTGGGGCTGGTTGGGAGCAAACCGAGCAGTGCTGCACCACGGGGGCGCTGCAGTGGGGCAGGGGGTGCAGAGTGCCCCAAGTCTGAGCCCTGTGGTGCTCTCAGGTGCCCACTGCCAACCCCAGCCCCGTGTCCACCAGGAGGTGACAGAGGCCCAGCGCACACCTGGCTGGGACATTCCTGAGGTTTCCTGGGCAGGCGCAAGGAGCAGGGCTGCTCTCCAGCTCCACGGATGTGTCTGCTGAGGACAGCCTGCTCTGCCCAACGGGATGCGTCCGAGCCCCGTGCTGGGGGGTGGCAGGAGTACTCTGCACAACCCCTCAGAAAGGGGATTTGTCTGCTGCCACAGTCTGGATACGGCGTGAGATGTGCTGCAGTCCTGCACAGACCTCACCAGGGCGTTCCTCAGGTAGCGGGATGTGTGGCAGGGCTGAGTGGGGTTCATGCAGAGAGATGGGGGGGTTTTGTGCAGATTCAGGAGCAACTAAGGACTGTGAAGAGAAGAAATAACAGAGCTGCCGAATGCAAGGGCTGGGCTGTCTGAGCTGTGGGTGCAGAGCAGGGCGCCACCAGGGTTGTGTCCCAGGGCAGCACCAGCTGGGTGTCAGGGAGTGGCTGGGGGTGTTTGCTGCGGGCTGGCGCTGCTGCACGGCTCCCTCCTTCATCGGTGGTGTCAGGGTGTGGGCTGGGGCTGTTGGCCATGGGCTGGCAGCCCTGCATGTGCTGGTGGTTCTTTCCAGTCCGTAGCAGTGTACCAAGCCCTGTGCCCATAGTGACTGTGACTGTGGGCATGGGGTGGTTTCTGTGGCCACACAAACACTGGGTGTTTTCCCCGGCGTTGTGTTCTGGTCTCTGCCTGCATGCTTTGTTCATGACTGAAGGCTGTTCAGTGTCCCTTCTGGCCGAGGGCAGTGATGTGGCTGCATCAGCCCACATTGGTCCATTGCGGCTCTGTGTGCTTTCACCATTTCCATCTTCGCGAACTGAGAGAGAACATCTTTCCTCTTCCAGATGAAGTTTTGTTTTGGAAAAGCATGTGATCCCCGCCAGTCCCCCACTGACGGGTGGCTTCCCAGCTGTAGCCACATTTTAGTTCCAGCAGGTGACCAGTTTTAATCCATTTAGAAGAAGGTGCACTGATTTTGTTGAGTGCTAATTATTCATTAAAAGGTCATGCAGGATGAATCAAATGCCTTCCAGTCTCTGCCTGTTATATCAACACAGTTACTCCAATTAACCAGACCTGTGATCTCATAAAAGGTCGCAGCAGCTTTGTGACATGGGCCATTTCTGAAGAATTGTAGAGATTGGGGTTAACTATGCTGATGCCCTTCGGTGTCGTGTTGGCCCCGTTGCAAAGCAGCCTGCAGTCAGCCCCAGCAGAGCTCGCCTCTCGTTCATTGCATACGCAGGTGAGGTTTTGGTCTCTGTGCATTCAGCGTGCGCCGCCTCGACCGGGCGTGCTGAAATGGGCACTTTGTGGCCGGCACGTGCATGCATGCGGTGCGGTTCTGCAGATTTACATTGCTTTGCTCGGGAGGGTCGGGGCGTCCCCTTCACCCGTGGGCAAAATAAGAAACGCGTCCCCTCCCCGCCCGCCCCCGGCAAACCCGGCGCCTTCCCCGAGCGGGCCGGGCCGGCCCTCGGCTCTGCCCTCCTGCCTTAAGGCCGATTAAAAGGTTCAGCAAAGCATTTCCCTGCTGCCTGTCCGCAAAGTCGCTTCCCGCTGGGCCGCGCTTTGTTCTCGCAGTACCAGAGCGGGCAGCACCGCCAAGCCCGGGGCTCACGGGGTTCTGCCCCCCCGGCGCCGTCCCCGTCAGCGCAGTGCGGCCCCCACGGCCCGGGCCGTGACAGAGGACGGCGGGGCCGGAGCTGATGTGAGCGCCCCGCAGGGGTTGGCGTCGGCCCGCCGCGACGGCTGAGCTGCGGAGCGCCCGGGGCCGGAGCGGGGCTGGGGCCGCCCGTGCGGCGCTGCGCGGGGCTGAGTTGATCCCGGAGCCGGGCGGGCGGACGGGGCGCGCACAGAGAAATGCCGGCAGCGCTGTTTGTCGCCGGGGCCGATGCAGAAATGCCGCCATCTCCCGCGGGTATCTGAGGAGCCCAGCCGTTACTGAAAGGCTGAAGAAAACGCCTCCCAGGTGAAATGCAGCGCGCTCCGGTTGCTGCGCTGCTGACAGCGGGTGGGAGCGCGGCTCGGCAGCTCTTCGCCACCGGCAGCTCCGTCCGGGCTGCAGGGCTCGCTGTGCTCCGAGCCCCCTGGGCTGCCCCGCTCTTGTTCCAGCTCCTCCTCCTTTTCCCGCTGCCTCACCTGTGGGTGACGCGGGCTGTTGGGCGCCGCTGCCATCGCCGTCCCTCGGTGCGGTCCGACAGCGCGGTTTCGGTAGCAGCGGCCGCGTTCAGGGGATGAGGCGCGGGGGGCACCGGGCGGCGCTGCTCAGCAGCAGCTCTGGGGCAGCGGGCGGGCGACGGCAGGGCTGGCCCTGGCTGGGGCCGCGCAGGTGTGCTGGCAATGAGCAGAGCCGTGTGCTGAGCGGCTGTTTCCGCGCGGCGCCGTTCTCCCGCACACCCTGATGCCGTTTCCCCGCAGGGCCATGGGACGCTGCGGCGCGAGGGCCTGGCAGGAGCTGCTGGTGCTGCTGGGCGGGCTGTGCGTGTGGGGCAGCGGCGCGCAGCCCACCCCCCCCGGCCCCACGCGCAGCTCCGTGCCGCCGCTGAAGTTCCGTCTGGCTGGGTATCCCCGCAAGCACAACGAGGGCCGGATTGAGGTGTTCTACAATGAGGAGTGGGGCACCATCTGCGACGACGACTTCACGCTGGCCAACGCGCAGGTGCTGTGCAGGCAGCTCGGCTTCGTGGGAGCCACCGGCTGGGCCCACAGCGCCAAGTATGGCAAAGGAGTTGGTAAGATGGGGGTCACCAGGCCGTGGGTCTGTGTGTGCAGCGCTGGAGCCGAGCAGGGCTCTGTCTGCACGGTGCCTGCAGCATGAATGTGCACGTGTGTGTGCCTGCGTGCGTGTGTATGTGCAGAGCAGAACGGGAACCTCTGCGTGTGCGTTCATATGTGTGTCCATCCCATGCTCAGGGAGGCTGCGTGCGCTGCACTGTGGGGCGGTGCAACTCTCTGGGTGCTGCGGTGGCTGCAGGGCTGTGCTTGTGAGGGTGCGTTGAGTGGTGCTGCATGCTGAGCGCAGACGAGGTGCCAGGTGCCATACAGTCCCCCTGCTGCTCATGTTCTGTGTCTGCTGGAAACTCCCTCCACCTTCCAGCCTTCTTTTTTTGTGTGCCTGGCTCCAGTTTTGTGCTGCCCCAGTCCATGTCCCCACACTGCAGTGTGTGGCTGCACCTCCTCTGCTCTGGGGGCTGCTGCATGGGCTCTGATCCCCCTCACCCCATCCCCGGTGTGCGGCAGGGCGGATCTGGTTGGACAATGTGAACTGTGCGGGGAACGAGAAGAGCATCAGGGACTGCAAACACCGCGGCTGGGGGAACAGCGACTGCAGCCACGAGGAGGATGCGGGCGTCATCTGCAAGGATGAGCGCATCCCAGGCTTCAAAGACTCCAACGTCATCGAGGTGAGGGGGCTGCAGACGGCCTGCCCTGCCACGAAAGGATGGCAGCCGTGTCCTGCTGCGCTCCCAGAGATGCACCCTGTAACCAGGGTTGCGTGGGATGGAGTCGGGCACTCGGCTTCTCAGTGCCACGGGAGGTTTCCTGCAGGGCTGTGGGACCTGCCTGTCCCTGCTCATCCCCAGGGATGGAGGCCCTCTTCTGTGGGACACCCTGGGGAGGGGCTGGCAGAGTGCTGGGCGCCGGGTGCCAGCTGCTGGGGCTGACATGCCTTGCAGACGGAGCAGAGCCACGTGGAGGAGGTCCGTCTGCGTGCCGTGGTGTCGGGGGCCCAGCGGCGGCTGCCAGTGACAGAGGGCATCGTGGAGGTGCGCTACAAGGATGGCTGGGCACAGATCTGTGATGAGGGCTGGGACAGCAAGAACAGCCGCGTCATCTGCGGCATGATGGGCTTCCCCACCGAGAAGAAGGTGAACAGGAACTTCTACAAGTAAGTGGGGCTGGCTGGGAGCCTGTGGGACCAGGGATGCAGGAGCGCTCCTGGGGCACAGCAGGCTGTGCTGTTCAGCATCCCCCCGGCCTGCCCAGGTCCCAACCCAGCTGGGGGCCATGGCACAACTGGGAGTTACGGCTGTTGGTCTTCCCTGTACATCTCTGCCCAAGATGGCTGGGTTTGGTCTCTGGCAGTCATGCATCCCCATGTTTCCCTCTGGTGGGAAGTGTGGGGAACCCTGTGCTGAGGGGTGGTTTGTGCTGAGCTGGGCAGGGTCGCTGCCGCAGCACCGCTGCGCATTGTCCTGGGGTTTGGCCATGAGTGGGCTGCCCTGGGCACAGCTGGGGGTGTGCTGCGCAGTGTGTGGCTGTGGCTGTGCTGCCCACAGTGTGGGTCAGTGCTGTGTGCATTGCTGACGGTGCAGCCACGGTGTTGCCCTGCAGGCGGCTGAAGCGTGCAGCCAGGACGAGGGGCCGGAGCACGAGGCCAGGCAGGAGGTAAGGGGCTGGGATTGAGCCTTGCTGTGCCCTGGGCAGAGCTGGGCTGTCCTGCCCCACCGTTCTCTGCTGTCTGAGTAGATCCTACAAATGTGGATCTGCTTGGAACAGATTGAGGGCCTGGGCTGTGCTGAGCAGGATGAGTCCATCCTGATGGGACCTGTCTGGTACACGTGGTCCCTTGTCCCCCTGAAGAGATGCTCTTTTCCCAGGCCGGTCATTCCCCAGGCAGAGCAGCCTCATCCCATGCACTGGGCAGGTGCTGGAGATGCAGGGTCTGAGTGGAAGGCGTAGAGAGGCCTGGAGCACCCTGTGCTGTGCCCTGTGGGGACAGGGAGGCCTTGGGAAGGAGCTATCTCTGCAGTGGGGAAGCTGGAAAGGCCGTGTACCTCCCATTTGCCTGAGCTCGCATGGATGAGGAGCTTGCTCAGCAATGCTGGTAGTGCTGGCACAGTGTGGCAGCCCTTATCCCAAGATCTGCATCCACCTGGGGTCTCTTTCACCATCGTTTTGCTGCCATCCTGCATGACCCCAGGGAAGGCCTAGCTGCTCTTTCCCTCTGACCCTGCACTGCTGCTGCCAGATTTGGTGGCAGAGGCAGAGATGCAGGCTGTAGCCACAGCCTGGGCAATGTGTGGCACCTCCTGTTTAACCCCAGCAGCACGTGGAGCAGCTGCTCTGCCCCCAGCAAACAGCGTCACCCTGGTCTCACCACTTCCCGTGGTGCCAAAGGCACTCTGCCCCAATCCTGGGCCCTTTGCTGTGATGCTGAGGCAGAGCTGCAGAGCCTGCAGCTCTGCCTGCGCTGTTGATGGAAATCCAGGGGGGTCAGACTGCGGCATCTCCTCAAGCTCTCATCAATGTCCTTTGCTGCAATTTGCTCTTTTTCCTTTGTCTGGGTGGTTGGTGCCTGTTGTGTGGGCATTTCCCGTGTGGGTGGAGTGCACTGTGCCTGGCACAGGAGCAGCTTTGGGCTGATCTCAGGCTGCGGGGCCACAGGGTAATCCCAGCTGGAAGGGGGCTCAGGGTTCTGGTCCATCCTCTCCCACAGCACTCAGGTCTTTATACATTTGTCTTCTGAAAACCTCAGAGGACAGAGATCTCACAGTCCTCTGCTGCAGTGCTGAATGACCCTCACTGGGAAAATGTTCACCTTGCATCCAATACGACCCTTTTCTTGCAAATTACGCCCGCTTCCTCTTGTGCGCCTCTGTCAGCTCTGCAGAGCTCCTGGCAGCCCCATGTCAGTGCAGGTGCAGCACTGCCCGAGCACCAAACTGTCCTCTGGTTTTTCCTCCTCACAGCAGTGCTGCACCCACCTCTCCCAGCCCCGTCTGTCCCTGCGCCCTCTGCAGATGTCCTTCTGTGTGGGGGCACAGGATCCAGCTGTGGTCCCATAAGTGCTGATGGGAGCTGATGTCCTCTGGATGTTCTTGTGCCTCAGGTTCCTGGCTGCCTGCGCGGTGCCCTGGGGCCATGCAGGCTGACACAGAGCTGCCATGGGGCTGGCTGTGCCTGGCCCCTGGTCTCTGGGTGCTGCCCATCCCCTGCCCCGTTCTGGGGCTCTGCTCTCCTGCTCCCTGGAGCTGCAGCTCTGCTCAGCATCTCCCTCCCACCAAGCAGGACAAAAACAAAGCGTCTGTGCAGGGTCTGTGCTCCCATCACACTTCTTTCCTGCCGAGCTCGCTGGGTGTGCTGCTCCCCTTGGAGCACACAGTGACATTGCCTGCAGTCCAGATGAGGACAGGGGCACATCTCACTTGCACCCAACAGATCAAATTGTTGCGCTGCTGTTTGATCTTTTGCTGTTGCCAAAGCAGCACAGGATGTTGCTGCATGTGTCACAGTTTCCTGGTGAGATGTGGGCCGGAAACTGCATCGCTGCTGTGGAGGACAGCTGTGTCACATTGCTGGCAGCAGATGATGCTTTGTATCCACACATGACGTGAAGGGGAACGCGTGAGGCTCCCGAGCGGCCTGCTTCATCTGGGCCACCTTCACGGTTGTTTTCTGTTTTCCAGGCTGGCCTCCAAATCTCAGCCTAAACAAAAGCGCAGGGAGGACTTAGGGTCCAGGAAGAGGTAAATGGCTCCAGCGGAGAGCCTGAGTGCCAGGATCCCAGCTCAGCACTGCTGAGGCTGTGTGCCCCTGCACTGCTGGGACGTGAGCATGGAGCAGGCAGGGGTGGGCACCCAGGGACAGTACAGCTGCAGGCAGGTGACACCTCTGCTCTGCTGGCTGCGCCTCAGGCTCTGCTCTCTCCTTGCAGGCTGTTTGCAGAGCGGCAGCAGCTCAACTACCGCCTGCACTCGGTGTCCTGTACAGGGACAGAGGTGCACATCTCCATGTGCACGTTCCAGTTCTACCGGGGCAACTCCTCGGCAGCCTGCAGCACTGGCATGCCCGCTGTTGTCAGCTGCCTGCCCGGGCCCCTCTTTGCCACTGGCAGCGCCCAGAAGAAGAAGCAGCGCCAGCAGCAACAAAGCCAGGTGAGCCTCGGGTGGCTCCTGCGGTGGACCACAGCTGCTGCCCTGCGCAGGGCTTTGTCCCTCTGTGCCTTCAGTTGGCTGAGAGCGAGGGTGCAGGGAGCCCGTAGGGCAGGAGGTGGGGATGGTGTCCTGGCCCTGAACGCCACAGAGTCGTGGCAGCCACTTCTGTGTTGTGCTAACCATGCAGTGCCATGCTGTGCTGCACCATGTGCTCCACTGCGCCGTGCTGTGCCATGCTGTGCTGTGCTACACCGTGCTGTGCTGTGCCATGTTGTGCTGCATCGTGCTGTGCCGTGCCATGCTGTGCTGCATCGTGCTGTGCCGTGCCATGCCATGCTGTGCCATGCTGTGCTGCATCGTGCTGTGCCGTGCCATGCCATGCCGTGCCATGCTGTGCCATGCTGTGCTGCACCATGCCGTGCCATGCTGTGCCCTGACCCTTCTGCCCCACAGCCACGGATCCGGCTGAAAGGAGGTGCCAAGGCTGGGGAGGGCCGTGTGGAGGTGCTGAAGAACAACGAGTGGGGCACAATCTGCGATGACCGCTGGAATCTGCTGTCTGCCAGCGTGGTTTGCCGCGAGCTGGGCTTCGGCAGCGCCAAGGAGGCCCTCACTGGGGCACGCATGGGCCAAGGTGAGCGTGCTGTGGCAGAGGGGACAGGCACTGCCTTCAGCCCTCTGTGCTGGACGTGCCCTGTGGGCGCCTGGATGCAGGGTGTGGGTTTTGCCCTGAGCATCTCCAGAGCTGGGGCTCTCATCCCAAGGCTGGGTGGCACTCGTAGGTCTGGCTCGAGTGTCACCGGCACAAGCGTGGCAGGGGAAGGGAAGGGCTGGGCCGGTCTGCCCCTGGTGGCAGCTGGGGAGGGCAGGGCTGGGCTGTGGGGATGGGAGGGCTACAGCATCCCTGTGCTGCTTCACTGAGCCTTGCCGTTCCTCTGCAGGGACGGGGCCCATCCACCTGAACGAGGTGCAGTGCCTGGGCACTGAGAAGTCCCTCTGGAGCTGCCCCTTCAAGAACATCACGCAGGAGGACTGCAAGCACACGGAGGATGCGGCCGTGCGCTGCAACATCCCCTACATGGGCTACGAGAACCTGGTACGTGCCATGGGGGGGGCTGCAAGTCTGCTGGGGGACTGAGGGATGGCAGTGGTGTCCATAGCACTTAGAGAGCGTGGGGTCACATGGGACCCAATGGAGGATGTCCCCTGCTGAACCCTTTTGGCTCCCTTGTTTCCCCTTGGTCTGGGACGAGGGCTGCCCTGGGGGGTGGGGATCTCAGGGGTCGCACGCTGCCCTGTGAGGAAGCAGGATGGGAGGGGGCTGTGGGGCTCGGCAGGATCCCTCACACTGTGCAGCTCTGCCTGCCGCTGCCACATCCGCACCCGAAGCACCCCAAAAAAAATTGCTGTGAGAGATTTTTTTGGGGACTGCTGATGAAATGAGCGAACGGACCGGCGCCTTTCAGCGTGCTGCGCCCCCTCATCTCATCCCCTTTGGGCTTCTTAACCGTTCTAATACTCCCACGCCTGTCATTTCAGAAATGAGAATGCCTTTCTGAAATGGATCTTTCTGCCCGCTCTGGGCATTGCTGCTGCACCGGGGCGCTGCTCGCGGTGACGGCGCTGCAGCCGCTGCGTCTCTCCGCAGATTCGGCTGAGCGGGGGCCGGAGCCGCTTCGAGGGGCGCGTGGAGGTGGCGGTGGGGGCTGCGGAAGGGGACGAGCCGCGCTGGGGCCTGGTGTGCGGCGAAGGCTGGGGTACGCTGGAGGCGATGGTCGCCTGTCGCCAGCTGGGGCTGGGATTCGCTAACCACGGCTTGCAAGTAGGTGCCAGAGCCAGCACGGCCGGGGAGGCGAGACAGCAGCACCACTGCTCTGCGGGGCCGGAGAGGCGGGGGGCGGCGGAGCGGGGCGCTGCGGGGTGATGACGGCCCCAGGGCTTCCCGCAGATCCGCCTGGCCGGGGGGAGGACGGAGTTCGAGGGCCGCGTGGAGGTGAAGCGTGGCAGTAAGTGGGGCACTGTGTGCAGCGACGGCTGGACCACCAAGGAGGCGATGGTGGTCTGTCGCCAGCTGGGCCTGGGCTACTCCCTGCACGCGGTGACGGTAGGTGCGGGGCGCTGCGGTGCGGTGGCCATCCCTGGTGCTGCCCTGACCGCCTCGGGGCTGCGCGGGGCGATGGGATGCGGCTGATCCGTGCCGTGGGATGGGGTCTCTGTGGGTGTGTGGGTGCAAGGCCGGGGTACTACAGCATGAATGGCTTCCTGCCCGGCCTTCTCACCCACCCCAGGAAACGTGGTACTGGGATGCCAGCAACGTGACGGAGATGGTGCTGAGTGGGGTGAAGTGCGCCGGCCACGAGCTGTCCCTGAACCACTGCCAGCACCACGGCAGCAGCCTGAACTGCAGGAACACGGGAACGCGCTTCGCTGCAGGCGTCATCTGCTCTGAAAGTGAGCGACCGTGGGGGCTGCGGGCAACGGGGGCAACCAGCCATGGGGCTGCGGGCCGTGGTGTCTGCAGGCACCGCGGCTGTGGGTCCAGGGGATGATGATTGAGAGCCCGTAAGCTGCAGGGGGTGGGGCCGTAGGCTCGATTTGTGCCCCAACGATGGGATGGCCGTGCATTCTCCCAGCTGGCTCGGCCCCGCACTGCACTGCCTGGGGCGGCCGTACAGCCCTGAGCTGCCATCTGTCCCCAGCCGCCTCCGACCTGCTGCTGCACGCCCCGCTGGTGCAGGAGACGGCGTACATCGAGGACCGCCCGCTGCACATGCTGTACTGCGCCGCCGAGGAGAACTGCCTGTCCAGCTCAGCCCGCCACGCCAACTGGCCCTACGGGCACCGCCGTCTGCTCCGCTTCTCCTCCCAGATCCACAACAACGGCCGCGCTGACTTTCGCCCCAAGGCTGGGCGGCACTCCTGGGTCTGGCACGAGTGTCACCGGTGTGTGCGTGGCAGGGGCAGGGAAGGCGGGCGGGTTGGGAATGGCCTGGGCTGGGTCTGATGGTGCTGTGCCGGGCTTGGTGACACAAGCTGAGGGTAATGCTACAGGAAGAGAGCAATGCCACAGGGTGATGCCAGGTCACAGCGGCGCTGCGCAAGGCACAGAGCCTGGGTGAGGGCTCTAATGCTGTTCTCCCCAGTTTGGCTCAGGGCTGTCTCTGGAGGAGCGGCGCTAAGGCTGGGCTGCAGTCTGCGCCCTGGGGAAACCTCCCCTGTCTGGGCCGTCTGACTGGTGGCAGCCGTATCCCAGCCCTGGGTGAGGCTGAGCTGTGCCTCAGCCTTGCTGTGCTGCGTCCAGAGCAGGGGCCGTGCAGACCTTCCTGAGCAGCCGGGATGGGCACGCGACTCCGGGGGTTTCCTCCACCACCCCTCCGCCCTCCCTGAGGGGCTGGCTCTGGGGCAGCGGGCGCTGTGGATTCTCTCACAGGCACTATCATAGCATGGACATCTTCACCCACTACGACATCCTGACTCCCAACGGCACCAAGGTGGCTGAGGGCCACAAAGCCAGCTTCTGCCTTGAGGACACCGAGTGCGAGGAAGGTGGGGCTGTGAGGCTGCGGGGCACCACGAAGCTCTGGGTCCCCGCTGCGTCCCCCCCATGCAGGGGCTGTGGTAGGGACAAGCCGTGTTCTTTTCCTGCCTTCAGATGTGGCCAAGCGGTACGAGTGTGCCAACTTTGGGGAGCAGGGCATCACGGTGGGCTGCTGGGACCTGTACCGGCACGACATCGACTGCCAGTGGATTGATATCACTGACGTCAAGCCAGGCAACTACATCCTGCAGGTGCTGCAGCTGTGCCCCAGCCCCTCACACCCTTAGTGGCAATGCATAGGATGTGCTGAGAGTGCACAGAGTGGGCTGTGCCGTGGGCTGGGCAGGCTCTGGAGCTCGCCTCCACCCTGTGGTCCTTACAGGATGCACAGCCCCAGGAGCTGCAGCACGGGGAGACTGTGCCTGCCCCGCTGCCTGGAGATGTGCAGGGCTGTGTGACCCACTCACGCTTGCCCCACAGGTGGTGATCAACCCCAACTTTGAGGTGGCAGAGAGCGACTTCACCAACAACGCCATGAAATGCAACTGCAAATACGACGGGCACCGCATCTGGGTGCACAGCTGTCACATCGGTAACAACTGGGGACGTGGCACAGGCTGAGGCACACCGGGGCTGGGAATAATTAGAGCCATGGGCAGGGTGTGGGGTTGAGCAGGCAGTGGGGTGTGGGCAGGTGCAGAGGAAGGAGCTGGGGGTGCTGGGGACAAGCAGAGATGGTGGCAAGGCAGCACCGGAGCCACAGCTCTCACCCTATCACACAGGTGATGCGCTCAGCGAAGAGGCCAGCCGGCGGTTCGAGCAGTACCCGGGGCAGCTGAACAACCAGATCTCATAGGGCCCGGGCCCAGGGAGACGCCATCTCCCTCTTTCACCCTGCGTGCAGGAGGAAGCTGCTGTGGGGCTGGCGGGGGCTCACACAGCCCCATCACAGCCTGCACTGCGCGAGGGACTGCCCAGGACTCACTGCTGGGGCTGGGGGCCCTGAGCACCGCACCTCCAGCCCTCGACCACTGGCCAGACGCTGCACCCCAGTCAGGCTGCAGCACAAGGGTACGATCCGGGGAGGCCCCACCACCCCAGCTGTGCCTCTCCTGCTCCCCAGCCCCAGCTCCCCTCACCTTGCTCCACCCTCTCTGGGGCTCTGCCCGCCTCAGGCAGCAGGACCCCACCCGGGGACCCCCATCCCTGCTCAGGGCCGGCCGCCCTCGCGCTCCAGCAGCCCCATCTCCAGACGGTGTGGCTGCCCTGCACAGCAGTGCTGCCATTGGCTGCCCGGCAGCGGTTCCCACACCCGTGTCTTAGTTGTAATTTTATTTTCTTGATAAAGATGTCAGTTCTGTATCCTGCTGACTCCTCGCCAGAGTGGGAGGAAGAGCGAGGAAGCATGGCCCGGGGGGCCGCTTTGCACGGGGTAGAGGAGCTGCCCCTCTGCAGGGCAGAAGCAGGGGCTGCGGGAGCCCAGAGATGCCCCAGAGCAGCTCTTGGGGCTGCGGGAGGCCCACAGCAGCGGGAGCAGATGGGGCCACCCTGGCTCAGCCCCGACGCAGCGCAGCACAGGATGCCCCGCGCCAGACGCAACACAGATGTTATGCGGCAGGAATCCCAAGCAGTGCGAACTCCCAACAGCCCCGCAGGGACTGCAGCTCCGGGCTGCCTCCAAAGGGAGCAGCCCCACAGGGAGCGGCAACGAGGGGAGCAAAGCCCCTCTGAGCCAGCGAGACTGGACGGATGTGGGGAACGAGGTTCAGGTAAGCGGGAGCCACCTCACTTCCCGCGGCCCTCATCCCTCAGCCAGCACCTCCGGCCCCGTCTGCAGAGCAGCACGGAGGAGCAGCTCGGGCCGCCGGCACGCAGCAGGGCAGACCCTGGCCGCGGCCCTGGAAAGCGCTGCGGTCAGCGCTGCCGGAGCAGCTATGTGAGAAACGTCCCAGCTATTTCCCCTGCGCGCTGCCGCCCCTCCCGCGGCTGGGCTTCGCCGGGGAACAAATTCCAGCGGCGGGGCCAGGGCCAGCCTGAAAGGAGCCCTGTTCTGTTCTCTGGGCGGCAGAAGGGGAACGCCGGGAGCGGCGCTGGGAGCTGCCCTCCGCCACAGCCCCCCAAGGAACTGTGCTGCTTTCATCTAAAAGCGCCAACGGGGGGCAAAAGCCCCTCCGCGGGCACAGCCCGGCCGCTGCTCGCATTCCTGCCGCTGGAGTCGGGTCACTGCAGCGCCCCGGGCAGCGCCGCTCCCCGCTCCTCGCCTCCCACGGCCGCTGGCAGAGCGCTGGGGCTGGAGCGGAGCGGGGCTCTTCCAGGAAAGCAAAGACAGCCCGAGCTGCTCCCTCTCAGCACAGCTCTTGGCCGCCAGCTGCAGAGGATGGGGAGGGAGCAAGCGAGGAAGGCAGCGGGGAAGGGCCGGTCGGGTCCCCCGGGACGCCTCCGTGCGTGGGAGCGCGGCGCTCTGGTGCTGACAGACAACTGGGGGAGGGATGGGGGGGGGGGGTGGAAGAGACAGACGGCGCCAAGGCAGCGCGCACAGCTCCCACAGGTCCTCCTGCACCTCCGGCTGGCCATACGCTGCCCCGGCCAGATCCGAGCTTGGCTCAGCCATCACACTGAAGATCCTCCCCGTGCGACCCAGAGAGCTGCGCTCAGCGTGCAGACGCGGGCACTGACACTGGAGTCCTTGCTCCACGTGGAAGTGATTTGACCCAGAGGACGTCAGCCAACTCCCAGAAGGCTTCTGGGAGCAGCCACAGCAGTGAGATCTGGCCAGGAGCAGCTCAGCCTGCACAGGGAGGGAGGCAGTGACGGCTCTCCCCAGGAAGCCCCTCTGCAGCTCCAGGGCCGCTCTCACCTGCAGAGAAGGTGCCCCCAGGAGCCACACGTTACAGATGGAGGAATCGGACCACAGCCCAGACCACAGATGCTGAGGAGGTGACAGGACACCTCTCCCCTGGCACCGAGGAGATCACCGCTCCTCCCAGTGGCAGGAGGAGGCGGCTCTCACAGCCCAGCTGCCTGCAGGTCATACTTGGGACACCGTGTGCCAGGGAAAAGAGGCCACACGGCACCTAGAAAAGCACTTTATTTGCGCACGGAGGGGAGTGGTTTCACACCGCGTCTGCTCCAGTGCCTCGCCCCCTGCCTGGCCCCTCCAGGCCCTCGCAAGCTCCCAGTCTCTCCCCGATGGCACACAGATGTGCCTCAGTCCTGCGTCCTCGGCTCCTGGCCGGCGCAGTCAGCCAGCAGACAGCGGCCTGCTGTGCAGCACAGCTACTCTGTGACCTCAGGGACGACGCTCACCAGCAAGGTGTCGTAGCTGCGCCGCACCAACAGGGCCAAGCTCTGCTGAGTCCTCACTGCCTCGTACACATCCTCGGCACGGCGCGTCGCCTGCCCGTTAATCTCCAGCACCACGTCGCCCGCCTTCAGCCCTGCCCTGGGGGGAGAAGGAAAGAAATTCATGGCAAGTGAAGCAGACGCTTGTCTGCGGCTTCGTCTTCCAGGAAGGAAGGAGAGCCAGGCACTTCAGGAAGCTGGGGCCGTTGTGCCAGGCATTCCTTCAGCTCCACAGGTAGCTTGGTCAAAGGGATGCCAAGCCCAAGCACATTCCACCACTCGGCTCCTGCTGCAGATTGCTGCTCTGCGGGCCCCAACCCCTGCTGCTCTGCAGCAAAGCCCTCAGAGCTAAACCCGTCCCGCCCCGTGTACTCGCTCTCCCACCCCGAGGCACCAGGCAGCACTTACTGGTGGGCCGGGGAGCCGATGATCACTTTGTGGATTAGCACTCCATAGGAGACATCAGGGAAGCTGGGGTCACGCAGCTTCAGCTCAGCTAGGATGCTGCAGAGGGAAAATGAGCATCACAGTAGTGAGCCGGGAAGCAGAGCAGGGCTCCCATCCAGCCAGGACCACGCTTGGGGAAAATGCTGCAGAACTCTCCTGCTGTGCCCTTGCACAAGTGACCAGCTGCAAACTCCGGGGTCACTTGAGTGCCACCACCTTTCTGACAAAAACTAGTCCTGACTGTGCTACGGAGAACTGGAAACTACCAGCACTGCTGCCAGCTGGATCCCAGCTGCTGGTGATGCACGTCCTGTGTCTGAGCAGCCCCACTTCAGACAGCTTTCCTGGTATCAGACTTGCAGCTCCCATCCTGAAGTTTCACTTCCCTCTTCTGTGGGTCGATCACAGAAGAAAAGTTACATCCTTTTGATTTTGCTGGAAATGTCAAGCAGAAGCATACCTCTATCTCTCTGCTGGAGTCTAGACTAAACAGTCCCAGTTCCTGCAGTCCCCAGATCAGCTTTTCTAGCCCCAGCTCTCAATTCCTCTCCTCTCTCTTCTCCTTTCTGGATTCTCTCCAACACATCCAGCACTGGACACAACACTCCAGCTGGTTCTCACAGCTGTGCATAATGCAAACAGCCTCAGCACCAGTTCAGATCCACTGTAACCCTAGGAAATACAGCACCCAGCTCCTTGCTCCCCACTGGTTACGGCTCCTTGCTTTGCTGCTGAACTGCACTGTACTTTTTTTCACTGAGCTTTGCAAGCTGCCATCTCTTCTCGATGTCGCAGTATTACAGCACAGATGAGGTTGGAAGGGAGCTGGTCCTACACCAGCCAGAGCAGGCTGCCCAAGGCTGTCCATGCCGGTGCTGAGTATCTCCAAGGACAGAGACTCACAACCCCTCAGGCTGCAGGGTTTCACCTCTCTGACAGTTAAAACCATTGGTTTGTTGCGTTCAGTTGCAATCTCACACATTTCAGCTTGTGCCATTGCCCCTTGTCCTGCCAGTGGGAACTATCACAACTATCAGGGCTACTGCTCACATTTACGACGACTAATCTCCTTCTTCACTCCACTCACTAACACAGAACCATATGTGCCCTTCTGCAGTCTCTGTACAAACACAGTAACTGCCTCCCAGTCCCTGAGCAGCTACTGTGGAAGAGCTTCTCCCCAGTTTTAGTGCTGAGCATAACATTGTGCAGCCTGGGCCATCGCTGGGGCCAAGTCCCCACTGCATCCTCTCCCCACCTCCTGCCCACCCTCAGCCCACTCCCTGTGTGGAGCAGGATGAGAATCAGTGAAGGCCTGGACGCTGCATAAGCGCTGCTCAGCTGTAGCTAAAGCATTGGTATGTTGTATGTTAAGGGGAAACGGTTTGAAGTTGAAGGGGGGAAGATTGAGGTTGGGTGTCAGGGGAAGTTGTGTGCTGTGAGAGCGGGGAGGGGCTGAACAGCTGCAGAGAGGCTGCGATGCCCCGTCCATCCCTGGAGGGGTTGGAGGTTGGATGGGGCCCTGGGCAGCCTGGGCTGCTGTGCAATGGGGAGGTTGGGGGCCCTGCGTGCAACAGGGGGTTGGAGCTTCGTGATCCTTGAGGTCCCTTCCAACCCCGGCCATTCCGTGATTCTGTTTATCAACACTGCTTTGGTCACAGATCCAAAACACAAAACCATACAGGACTCTAAAAAAGAAATGATCTCCATCCCAGCAAGGCCCCGCACACAGCTGGCCCAGACCAGGGCCACATCTGCACACACCGTGCAGCCGAGACTGCACCTCACGCCTGCTGCTGCTGCGCACGTGACAGCAGCAAGGCTCTGCTTCTGTTAGGTTTCCCACTTGCTCTTTGGAACCCTACACCAACAAGTCCCATCACACAGCACAGAGAAGCGCCTCGTGTTTTAATGCTTCCCTGCTAACACGCCTCACCAGCACTGCATGTTTTACGTAGAACTCATTTCCAACAACCGGCAGCTCTGTTTTCAGAGCCCTTTTCTCCCTCCCCACATACTGCACGCTGTAACGCAGGGCAGCGGGAGCTCAACCCTTCCTCAGCTTGATACTAAACAGCATCTGAGAAGACACTTCCCAGCCTTTTTTCCTCTCCTCCCTACGGAATCATTTGAATCACAGAATCACAGAATCAGCCGGGTTGGAAGGGACCTCAAGGATCACGCAGTTCCAACCCCCTGCCCAGCAGGGCCACCAAACATCCACATTCACATCAGGTTGCCCAGGACCCCGTCCAACCTGGCCTTGAACACGGCCAAGGACGGGGCATCCACAACCTCCCTGGGCAGCCCGTTCCAGGCCCTAACCGCTCTCCTTGGGAAGAACTTCCCCCTAACATCCAACCTCAATCTTCCCTCCCTCAACTTGGATCCATTTCCCCTCGTCCTGCTGTTGTCAGCCCTTCTGAAGAGTTGACTCCCCTCCTGGCTGTAGGTTCCCTTCAGGTATTGATAGGCTGCACTGAGGTCACCCCGCAGCCTTCTAGATCTCAGTAACAACTTTCCGTGGGCAGCAATAGGGTGCCCACATGGGCTCCGTTCTCCGCCCCCGGCTCCCGTTCTGTCTGCACTGGTGGCTCTGAGCCTCCGCGCCGCCTCATTTCCGTGCCGCCACCTCACGCCGCCCGCCGCCCCGCCCGCTCCCCAGGCGCCAACGGCGAGCACGAGCGCCACCTGCTGGGCTGCGGTGCCGGCAGCGCCCCCCGCTCACCCCGCCGCCCGACATCCGAAGCGCAGAGCGGCTCCCCCTGCCTGCGCACCAGCAAGGAGCCAACGCCGCTCACGGCATCCGGTCCACAAACACAACCAACCGTACAGGAGCCGCCAGAACTTTGGCCCTGAAACGCGTTTCTGCCAGGCACACGGCAGCCACCAACACTGCGCCGCGGGGATCTCTCAAGAGCCGCTCAGGCACAAAACCTTTGAGCAGGGCTGCTCACAGAGGGGAGACTGCAGGGCTGCCGCTCCCTGAACGGCTGTGCTTGCTGCGCCTTGGAGGCCGCAAACACGCAGTGAAGCAGTGGCAATGCTGTCCCAGGGCACGCAGAGCTCTTCGTAGGCCTGAGCAGGGCTCCCAGCACTCAGCAAGGCACATTAACACAACACACAGGGCATCTGCCCCGGGCACCGGGTTTGGCTCCCGTGTCTTGGAGGCCAGCAGAACCGAAGCAAGCAGTCTGGCTGCAATTCTCTTTGCCAACCAGAGCATTTCTTCAGATGCAGAGGAAACACAGTGCTCTTCCCAGGCTACAGAGAGGAGGCCGAAGAGCCTCAGGCCTGCAGGCCATCCCCTTCCCATTTTCCAGCACTGTCCTCCTCAGCACTGCCATTGCTTTCCAGCGGCAGCACCCAACCTTCCTCCTGCCAGCCAGGAGCCTCACAGCACTGAGAGGCAGCCATGCTGTGTGCCCACACAGCCCGCTCTGCAACCTGCCTGCAGGCAACCTGCCTCCTTCCCCAGCAGCCAACTCTCCTGCAGGCAAACATGCACTTTCTTACTCTGAAAGTCCCACATTCTGCCACGAATTCAGCGCCACAGCAGTTCACCCGCCAGACCACTCCTCCCAGGAGTGCAATTCACACATTTTGCACAAAAGCTTTCAGTTGGCACAATGCTTATCTGCTAATTACACAACATTTCTGGTGGCTCTTTGTTCAGGTTGTTTTGCAAGGCCTCTTTATGGAACTCCCAATGAAATTACACACTGATGCGGCAGATTTAGGGACGTTTTATCTGCATGCAGATTCTGCCACAGACAGAAATTTGCAAGCTTCTAACTTACCCCAGACACACAAGAGTCTGAACACCATACCAGCAAAGAGACTTTTGAATGTGAATGCTTAACCTTGTGAAGGCAACCCTCCCAGAAGCTCCCAACAACACCGGTCCCGCTGAACTCACAGCGCTTACCTGGGTGTGAGAGTCAGCATCATCACCCCGATGTAACGGCGCTTCGTCTCCGCGTTGCCAAACCAGGAGCCTGTGGGCAGAAAGGACCTCTAACAACAGTGCTGAAAACAGACATGCACCCAAAAAGCACAGGGCTGAGCCAGCACATCACAGAGCCCGCACGCCTCAAGGCAGTGATTCTGGTTCCCTACCAACAGGAGATTTCAGTTTCAGTTACTGGCTTTATAGCTATTGCACAGTTTCTTTTCTTGGTTTAAGATATCACTGTTTTGCTTGAGAATATCAGTCCATGATGTCAACGTGAGAACCAGGCAGCAAGAACCTGCATTAAACAACTCACCACAAACACAAAGGAACAAAAGGCAGAGTTCTTGGAAACCCTGGAAGCCTTATCTATGGCATATGGATTTCCCACGGCAGAGGGGCTCACTGCTTCACGCCCAATGGGAGAATCTTCCTAGTCCCCAAAGGTTCTTCCTCTTCTGTGTCTGCCCACCTCTCTGAAGAAGTGCAGGGAGCTCAGCTTTGCCCACAGCTTCTTCCCTCTTACATCACCCTCATTCTGGCCTCGTTCCCCAGCACCCGAGCAGAGAGGCTTCCAACTCACTTTTGCGCTGTTCCTCCTTCTGCAGGAACTTCCGCAGCCGGTCTGAGGGGATGGCAAAGGAGATGCCTGACGTCACCTTCATGGTGTTCACCCCAATCACTTCGCCATCCTGCGTGGAAAAGGGCACTGCGTTCTCCAACCTGCACCTTTATGGAGCTCTGCAAAACCTGAAGCCTGTGCACCCGTCCCATCCAGGCAGTCTGATCTTGCTGAGGCTGGGCAGGGATGAATCCTACCAAGCAGGGCTCTTGCTCCAACCAATTCCTTGATGCCACCCCTTAAGATGCCCAGAGAGCACACAGTTCCTCCTTCCCACCTCACAGGTGAGGACGCTTGCACTGAAGGCACTCAGCCCCAGGAGAAAAGGTCCGCTGGGACACATGCAGGAGAACTTACCAAGTTGACGAGGGGACCACCAGAATTCCCAAACTGAAACAGCAGAGAGAGCAGCAATGAGGCCACGAAAGCAAACCTCAAGCACTAACCCACAGCGAGGAGGCAGAGCCCAGAGAACAGGGCTCAGGCCGAGAAAGAGCCAGACCACCAACCAGAAACACCCCTCTCCCAGGCTGCTGTGCCCAGCCTCCCTGCGCCTCGCAGCACCCAGAGCCCTTCCCCAGAGCAGAGGTGCCTTACGTCGATAGCGGCGTCCGTCTGGATGTACTCCATGTCGGAGGCGGCCAGGCCCAGCTCCCGGCTGCCGCGCTGCGCCGAGCTGACGATGCCGGAGGTGATGGTGTTCTGCAAGGCGAAGGGGCTGCCCATGGCCACCACGAACTCCCCCTGCCGCACCTCGGAGGAGCGCCCGAGGGGCAACGTGGGCAGCGGGCGCTGCAAGAGAGGATCCGGGTTAGCAGAAGGCAGGCGAGGAAGGGAGCCCCTGCACCACGTGGCACGCACCTTAGGCTTGATCTTGATGGTGGCGATGTCTGCGACCTGGTCCACGTCCTGCACCACGGCGTCGTACTGCTCCCCGCTGGCCAGCTTCACCCGCACGCGCCGCCGGTTGGCCACCACGTGTGCGTTGGTCACAATGAGCCCATCGGGAGACACCAGGAATCCCGAGCCGTTCGAGATGGGCACCTCACGGCCTGAGAACGGGTGCCTGCAAGGTGGGCAAAGGTCACAGGAGGGTGTGGGGACCAGGAGGGGACAGGTGGGGATGTGGGAGGCCGGGGCAGCTGGCAGCCGCATGGCTCAGCCCGGTGGGCTGGGAAGTAGCGGGGGACCGCGAGGGGATGCCCGGATGACAGCAGGACGTGGGAGCTCCTTCACAGCCCCGTGATGGCATCCATCACAAGAGACGGCACAACCCTGCACGCAATGGGGCAGCAAGCAGGAGGAACCAGAAATCCACGTGCAATGGCAAAAGTGTCACCTCACAAGGACCATGGAAGTGCACTGGGAAGCGCGCAGTAACAGAGAGCTGCAATGGACACTGCAGTCTTTAGGAAAGACAAGCACAGACCTATGGAGGGATATAATCTGAACACACAGCTTTGCCATGAGGACCAAACAGGATGAGCTAATGTCCCTGTGAGTCTATCAATGACCTTTAAAAAGTCACAGCGGCTCAAGGTGGTTCCCAACTGCCGAAAAAAAGGCATCAAAGCAACCTGTGAGGATATGGAGGCCAAAGAACCGGCTAGTTTCACCCTGCCTTTGGGGATATTCTGAGGCAAACGCTGCAGGAAAGCACTTCCATGCACACAGCAAGCAAAAGGGGCTGGGAGCAGCGGCACAGACCCACCGCGGGCCGAACCACGGGCACCAACCCGGCTGCTGCGATGAGCGGTGGCGCAGATCAGGAGGCAACGGGGCAATTTTGCAATATTACAAACAGTAATATTGCAGCATCTCAGCAGCGCCCACGCGGGCGGCATGCAAGCGTAAGGCCGGCTGAGCGGCAGCGCCGCGGCACCTCAGGGCTGCCGCAGGCCCCGAGCGCAACGACGGCGGCCGCGAAGCCGCGCCGCGGCGAGCCGGGGTACCTGCCCACGATCTCCACGTAGACCAGGGCGGGCGCCGTCTTCTCCACGACGTCGGCGATGAAGTTGAAGGCGGCGCGGGGCGAGGCGGGCGGCGGCGCGGGCGGCGCGGGCGGGGCGGGCACGGCGGCGTGCAGCGCGGAACGGCGGCTTTCCCGGGCCCACAGCAGCAGCAGCGTCGCCGCCCCGGCGCCCAGAGCCGCGGCCAGCAGCCGGGAGCCGGCGGGAGGGGCGGGGGGAGGCGGAGGGGGCGGCGGCGGCACGCGGGGGGCGGCGGCGGCGGCCACGCACAGCGCCCGGCAACAGCGCGTCCCGCCCGGCGGAGCGCGGAGCCACCGCGCCAGGGCAGCCATAGCGCCGTGCTGCGGGGAGAGCGGGGAGGGCCGGGAGCGGCGGTGCTCGCGACCGGTTCGGGCCAGCAGGGAGGAGCGGGGCGCGCTCGGAGCCGCCGTCCCCGGGCTCCGCCGGTATCCGCGGGCGCAGCGGGCCGCCCTCGCAGCCCGGCAACCTCGGAGCCTCACAGCCCCGGCCGGGCGCGGTGCCCGCCGGGAAGGCCGCGCTCCTCCCAGGCGCCCCGCGCGGTCCGGGCGGGCGGCGCAAGATGGCGGCTGGCGGAGCGCGGCGCTGAGCGGACGGGCGCGGCATGGAGCGGAGCGCGGCGCCGGGCCCGGAGCGGCTCTTCGACTCGCAGCGGTGAGGGACGCGGCGCCGGGCGCGCTCCGCTCGGAGGGGCCGGGAGCGGCCGGGGGGCTCGGCGGGCCGGGCCGGGCCGGGCGGAGGGCCGAGGGCCGAGCGGCCGCCCCGAACCCCGGCGCCCATCCGCGCCGTTCTCCTCCCGCAGGTTTCCCACCGACGGCTTCGTGCTGCTGGCGCTGCTGCTGTACGCCCCCGTCGGGCTGTGTCTGCTCGTCCTGCGGCTCTTCATCGGCGTGCACGTCTTCCTGGTCAGCTGCATCCTGCCCGACGGGATGCTGCGGCGGTGCGTGCGGGCCGGGCGGGGTTCCGGCGGGCCGGGCCGGGCCCTGCGGACGGGCCGGGGTTCCCGGGCGGCTTTGGGGCCGTTCTGTGCCCTGCGGCTCCGCCGCCGTCGCGCTGGGGGCCGGGCTGTGCCCTCAAACGCTGCTGTCAGCCCCGGCGCTCTCAGCCTCCTGCCCTGCGCGTCCTGCTATACTGGCAGCTCTGCAGGCAGCCCTGGTCTGCGGCCCCGAACGGTTCCAGTCTGTCGTATCGGCCCCTTTTGTACCCGTGTCCTTCCCTAAACCACCCCGAGTCCTGGCTTCTTGCTTTGTTGGCTCTCTGAGGCCGCCGTGGCTCGGACTGCAGGATCTGAAGGAACCCTTTTTCTCCCCCCAGCCTTATTGTGCGTGTGATGTGCTCGGTGCTGGGGCTCTTTGTGCAGCAGAGCGGTCCCCGTCCCCGCGATGCCGCTGTGCAGGTGTACATTGCCAACCACGTCACACACTTTGATCACAACGTCGTCAACCTGCTGACCTCGTGTAACACGGTGAGTGGTGCCTTGCAGGGCATGGCGGGGCTCTACGGACCTTTCTAAGCACACGGATGGCTCTTTCAGAGTTTAGATGTTGCTCTGACCGTTTTTAGTTCTTATTTATTAACCTAGGATTGTGCAAGCCTGAAGTATTTTTTTCTGTGGTTCAGTTTCATGCTTGCATGAAAAATTGAAGGTGAGAGGTAACAGTAAGGGTTACACTGAGGATTGGTTTTATTGAGTATATAAGATTGCAGAATCATAAAATGCCCTGGGTTGCAAAGGAGCACAATGCTCTTCCAGTCCCAACCTCTGCTGTGTGCAGGTCGCCAGCCAGCAGCCCAGGCTGCCCAGAGCCACATCCAGCCTGGCCTTGAATGCCTGCAGGGATGGGGCATCCACAGCCTCCTTGGACATGTGTACCTTTGTGTCAGAAGCAGCATTGTGTGTGGGGTTTCCTTACAGTGCTGGGTGCTTTTTATAGCTGTCAGCAGCACCAAGGGCAAGCAGGATGCTGTGCTCAGGCTGTTGTGCCGGGCTGACAGCTGTGTGACTTTTCCTGCACTCAGAAAATTCCCTGGGGTGTGGAGTTCCTGAATTCACAGGCACCAGATGTTCCTGGGGGTTGAGTGGTGCAGTGTGTCCTGAATGGCCGTGGACTGGGCCCTTAATTGGGGAGAGCCAGCACTTGGAAGTATCCCTTGCCAAGCATGTTGGGAATTCCTAGAGAAACTGTGGGGAATGTGACTGACATTCAAGGCAGAGGAATTCATTGCTCAGGTGGATGGGATATGATCTGAATTGTGGATCAGGAGTCAAATTCCCAGGGGACTGGGGCCAGAGCCACCACCGAAGCCTGGATGGAAGTAGCACATTCTCTGCTGCTAGCATTGTTAGCATATGGGTTGTTCCCTCAACTCCCAGAGGTGTTTTTGCTAGCAAGCAGAAATTTAGTTTCCCATTTACACCTGAGCAAGTAGGCCTCGAGAGGAGAACCAAGTGACATTTCTTCCTTTGTCTTGTTTTTTTCCCTTGCAGCCCGCACTGAATGGTGCCCCTGGCTTCATCTGCTGGTCGCGGGGCTTCATGGAGCTGGGAGTGACAGGGAGCCGAGCTGAGCTGGTCGATTCCTTGAAGGCATATTCGTCTCACAGAGGAAACCCACCGCTGCTGCTCTTCCCAGAGGAAGCTGCCACCAATGGCCGGGCCGGCCTGCTCCGCTTCAGGTGCTGCAGCCGGGTCCCGAGCTGCCCGTCCTCAGGGTTGGCTCAGCCTTGGAAGTTGCTGACAGCTCTACTCCTGCTTTGCAGCTCCTGGCCGTTCTCCATCTTGGATGTGGTGCAGCCGGTTGCCCTGCAGGTTCAGAGGCCTTTGATCACTGTGGTGAGTCTGACGCAGGGCCGGGAAGAGTTCTGAAAGCCCGAGAGGGTCTCTGTTGTGTCGTTCATTTTGCTTCTGCTTTGAAACCCGTGGAGAGAGCAACCTGGCCTTGTTCCTGTCATCCCGAGGATGTTTCTGCGTGCTTGCAGTTGGCTTTTCAACTGCCTCTCTCAGAGACCTTTGGCTAAATCGTTCTTTTCTTTACGCTCACAGTTTTAGTAGATGTTCTTAGTCTGGCTTCCATGCTTGTAGCATCAGCACCTCATACCCTCTTTATGAGTTCCCTTCTTTTAAAGCGTTTTGAAAGAATAACTGCAACCCCCGTGGGGTTTGGACGACACTCCAGAGTTACTCAATGCCCTCTGGATGAGGTTCTTGAACTCACGTCTCCCAGGTCCTGCTGTGTAACGTGATGCAACACCAGCTGCAGAAAAGTGGCAAAGTTCACAGTTTGGGTGCTGGTGCTGCTGAGCAGATTGCAGTCAAACTGCTGTCACTTCATTTGCAGAGCGCAGTTTCCCCCTCTCAAGAAACAGTTAATAGATCTGCATGGTTAGAAGATGCCTTTTATGTCTGTCAGACATTTTAGATTCTTTTTATTTTTCCGTCTGTTTAGGGGGCAGGATGCACTGTGTGGTTTAAAGCCACTTACAAAGAGGCCATAAAACTTTACTGCCCACACAGACACTTTTCACGTGATATTCTATTAGGAATTAGCTCTTTGCCACTTGGTGTTTGCTGCTTTTGTCCACGGGCCACAGTGTTGAGATCCTTGGAGTTGGTGAATGATGAACTGTCTGGAATACTGATGGCATTGTGCTGATACCTGCAAAGCTGATGTGGTCTGTGGGTGCACAGCAGGAGGAATGTGTGGCAGAGCAAGGAATGCAGTGCTGGCTGCACATGTGCCGTGGTGGCAGCTGCTTCTAAATTAGGGTGTGAAGCTCTGGTAGCCCAGCTGCTGAGAAATTGGGGCAGCAGTAGAGAGAGCTCAGGAAGGCTGTCAGTATGATGCAGGATCCAGAGAGCAGGATTTAAAGGTGCTCAGTTTAATCAGCTTATCAGAGATCACAGAATCACAGAATCACCCGGGTTGGAAGGGACCTCAAGGATCACGCAGTTCCAACCCCCTGCCCAGCAGGGCCACCAAACATCCACATTCACATCAGGTTGCCCAGGACCCCGTCCAACCTGGCCTTGAACACGGCCAAGGACGGGGCATCCACAACCTCCCTGGGCAGCCCGTTCCAGGCCCTAACCGCTCTCCTTGGGAAGAACTTCCCCCTAACATCCAACCTCAATCTTCCCTCCCTCAACTTGGATCCATTTCCCCTCGTCCTGCTGTTGTCAGCCCTTCTGAAGAGTTGACTCCCCTCCTGGCTGTAGGTTCCCTTCAGGTATCGATAGGCTGCACTGAGGTCACCCCGCAGCTTCTCTTCTCCAGGCTGAACGAGCCCAACTCCCTCAGCCTGTCCTCATAGGGGAGGTGCTCCAGCCCCCTGCTCATCTCAGTCGCCCTCCTCTGGACCCTTTCCAACATCTCAATGCCTTTCTTGTACTGAGGGCTCCGCACCTGGACACAGGACTCCAGATGGGGCCTCACAAGAGCCGAGCAGAGAGGGACGATCACCTCCCTGTCCCTGCTGACCACCCCTCTCCTGATGGAGCCCAGGATCCCGTTTGCCTTTCGAGCTGCCAGAGCGCACTGCTGCCTCATGTTCAGCCTCTCGTCCATCAGGACCCCCAGGTCCTTCTCTGCTGAGCTGCTCTCAAGTCCCACTCCTTGAGATAAGGCACAGAGGTGGTGGTGGGCAGCTGCTTGCGCAGTGGAGAAGCGGCTTAAAAGTGGAGAAACTTCTTACCTTTTGACAAAACACACAGCAGTCTTAGCAGGTGCTGAGCCCAGATCTTGGTAAGACAGGAGCTTAGTTTGGGGTTAGGATGAAGGTTTCAAACTGTGGGGAAGTTTTTGAATGAATGCTCCAGTGAAGTGGGGGAGCTGCCTTGTTCTGTATGGCTCGGGGTGAGTCAGCGGTCTGTTGTGGTTTGGTTCCTCTGAGAAGCTCCGTGGGATGGGACGAGTTGTGGGAGGCCTGTGTGTCTTTTTCCTTGTGAACACTGGGGAGGATGGTGTGCACAGAACTGCCGGCCTGCTTGGAGGTGATGGCTGTGATCACTTCTTGTCTCAGGTGTTCACCTTCAGGAGCTGAGTGGGATCACTTGTAAATGCAGTGTAGAATTTCTTACGTCGCTTTACGTAATCAAGAGCTTCCTGGGTGAGGAGATGGAATGCTTTGAATGTTTCAGTCAGTGCTGTACAGAAGGCTCACGTAGCTGCTCACCTGGTGTGTGTGTGACGCCAGGCTGAGCAGCACGGCGGCTGGGCTTCAGGAGGGATTTGCTCTAGCTGCAATTAGCTGGAAGCCCAAAGGGAAGGTGTAAGTTTGTGTTGTGCAGTGGGGGCACCGTGAAGCTGAGTGTTGGAATCACTACAGGGCATTTGATCCTGGTTTTCTCAGGTCTCAGCTCTGTTTATCAGAGATGAGGCTTCTTCGTGTTGCCCTACGTGACTGAACAAACCGCGTGCAAGGCTTTGGTTGAGGATAAAGTCACGTGTGAAAGAAGCTGAGGGAGCGGTGTTG